AAATTATGGACATAGTTGTTGCAATATATATCAGGAGAAAAATTTTCTCAGTAGTGCAGGGGCTGTAAGGTGAATTCTGCCTTGTCATTAACCTGAATATTCATATTAACAGAAAACTGATTTGTAGATGAAGTCCTCTGAACAAGAAGGCCACCATGACAGTTCTGGAGAGGACCAACTAAGGTCAAAACTCAACCACCCAACACGAAGGAGGTGAACAGCATATTGGCAAAGGGTGCTGAAGGTAGACCCAGTTCTCAAGGCAACCAAAAAACACCAAAATATTCAGAGATAGCACTGTTTCCTGTTGTTCATTGCTGGGAGATGACCTACCCTCTTGGGAGTGCTCTTTGTTTGAGTCTTAATTTAGTTTTACTACTAATAAAATTCTCTTTTCTGGTTTTCAGTGACTGACTCAAAGTCTTATTTCTTCAGAACAGAAGAACTGGGGTTTGGAGCTTTAGCCCCCCCAGTCTCCTATGACAGGAGAGACTCCTGGCCATCTTTGGCCAGGACAGTCCCCAGTAAGAAATAGGAGATTTGAGGTGATGCTGAGATAGGTTTTCTTGAAAAGGTGGGGAGCTCTGCCCTGAGCTCTCCGAAGGCTCCACTGAGCAGCCTGGTTCCCAGCACAGCTGAGGTGTGGGTAGGCGTCAGCTGTGTAAGCATCTTCATTCCAGGGTTCTGGCTACCTTATCTGTAAGCAGGCCAGCCCCTGGATGTGTGACAGGGAATCCCCAAATCCCCCAAACAGAAACCTCTTGAGATATGACCATCTTGGGAAAAGAGACACAGTTGTTGGCCAGTTGGTGGTGTTTCATTTGTCCCTCATAAACAGTGTTTTGCAATAGATTGTCTTGCCTGGCTTCTCTATGCATATAGGACTAGTTTATACCCCAGAGGGTTGCAGGGGTCAGGTATCCCAGTCCAGAGGATTGTGTGGTGCCCATAACAACCAAATCTTTTTAGGAGAAGGATACCAGTCCAGTCTCAGACAGGAGTAAACATCAAAGGAGATTTGCAGTGCCTTTTCTTCATGGTGCCCATAGGGCCACTCTCACTTCTGTAGCCAGGCCTCTCACACCTGCCCTGTCCCCATGAAAATAGATGCTTCCTGTCTCTCCTCCCTTCCCTTCCCCTCCAAACTCCCCCCAATGTTACAAGTCATCCAGAAGGATAGCCTCACATTAAGACACAGAGTGCACACAAGCCAGACATAGCACAACTGCCCATCAACAGAATCAGGATGCATAGCTTGTGAGACTCTCAGGCACAAAATTTAATGCAGGAACAGTGTGTAAACAGGCTATGTACAACTAGAAGATGACTCACAAAATACTGAGTGGAAAGAACAAAATGTGCTCTATGTTATCATCCTTAAGACCTTCAAAACCAGGAGACATACAATTACTCTTTGGGGAGTGAGGACATGGTAATGACAAAATCCAGGGCCAAGGCCACCTTAGGGATGTAGCAAGTAGGTCAGGAATAATATGTGTGTGATTCTATGGTGCTGGGGATGCTGTGGGTCCTGACTGGGGAGGTGGGTGTCAGCCCACTCATGTTATAATTCATCAATCTCCACAGATACATTTCATGTACTTTGCATATGTATTTTATTTTACAAAGATCACACAAAAATAAGCCACCCCACCTTTAGGCCTGTGTTGGTCTTCTCAGGGCACTGGCCCCCTCATGTCTTGCTCAGATTGTCTTAGTGGGGAAGACAGGGTGGGGAGCTTCCAGGGCCAGAGTACAAATGACTCAGGTGGCCCTGAGCCAAGGAACCTTCTAATAATACTTTCATTCTTTCCCCTGGTATTTCCTCCTGCCCTCTGCACTGCCATACATTTGCTCCATATCCCCTGTGTTCTGTTGTGTTGACCTGGGAACCTGGCTTCCTGACTCTGTCAGGCCTGCCTGGAGTGGCATTTTCTGACCAAGTTCTGTTTCTTATAAAGGATTGGCTCTGGTGAAGCAAGCACCCCAGCATCCATGACTAATGGAATCTCTGGAGTGGTATTTTAGTGTGAATTTACTCACTCACTTAAAGCTGACTATGTATGAATATATCAGTTATATAATGATTTGAACTCCATCTCCTTGTCAGGCCCCTCATTAGGTATACAAGGTCAGAATACTTGTCCTTTTCGAGAGGACAGGTATGAGAAGACAGGTTCATGTGATGAATGCTGCAGAGCAGTCTGGGGGCCTGTGAGAGCCATTACTGAGCACAGCAGAAAAGGGATCCCTAAAGAAGTGATATTTAGCTGGGCACAATGGCAAACATCTATAATCTCAGTGGCTATAAAAGCTGAGGCAGGAGGATGGTGTCTTTAAAGCCAGCCTCAGAAATGATAAGACACTAAACAACTCAGTGAGATCCTGTCTCTAAATAAAAATACAAAATAGGGCAGAA